CATGCCAAGTTTTAAGTGTTTGACCCTTTTGAGTCTTTGTTAAAAGACCTGCAAGTTCTGGCATGCCCAGAAGATCTAGAATAATTGCTTTTGAGATTTCCCATTAAGACTCAGTTACATAGCTCAGCAACTATGGTATCACTAGGTGTCATCCCCAAAACACAACAAACACCTCCCTTAACACAAACAACATGAGTCCATTTTAATGATAAATGTCATTAAAGGATTGCCAGTGGGAGGTTTGTGGATCCTCAGGTCAAGGAAGATGTTCTAGCCTCATATCTGCTTTGAGAGAAAACTTAAATATTCCTGTTCACCTTAGATGAAATACCACTATTTGGGATAAGCCACCTATTTCCAAGATCTGATTCCAAGAGATATTTTTTTTTGTCCCACACAAACATGTATCAGGAAAAATGCCTCAGAGTGTTTCAAATCTGTAGCTCTGCCAGATGTTCATAGAAATGGGCGCAGGGGTGGGGGGATCAGTACTTTGGAAAGCTGTGGGTTAAATAAAAAGATTACTTCATTACTCAGAACCAGTCAGAATCTTTAAAATGGGAGCGTACTTTATAAGTCTCCAAGATGGAGCAGTCTAAACTTATTTGATCATTGAATTTGTTTTTTTGTTTTGTTTTGTTTGGGCCATGGTGTATCGTATCTTAAAGATCAGTTTTTCACATCAGCCGCATATTCACACATAGGTAGTTTTTAAAAACTCTAATACCAAGACTTCACCCCAGGTCAACTGCATTAGAATTTCTAGGGGTGGAACCCTGGCATCAATAGTTTTTATAGCTTCCCCCATGTGCACAACGTGGATCAGGAAAAATGCCTTAGAGTGTTTCAAATCTGTAGAACCAACTTGAGAACCAACATATCTTTGGGAAAAACTGAACTATACATTCTATTCCCTTCTTCAAGCTAAAAAAATAAAAAATAAAAAAAAGCTGCACAAAATTCCAAAAAAAAAGAAAAACTAATGACTAGAGTTAGGCCTTCCTACTTCAACCAGCTTTATTCCACTAGACATTAGCACAACACCCTACCTCTGACACCTCCGTCACCTCCATCACCTCCACACCTCATCATTATTTTTCATGCCATTCTTTCTAGATATGTCTTCAAAACTGGGTCCCTGGACATAATTGATTGTTAGCATAATTTTATTCCCCTTTGAGTCTGTATGCCATAGAACATTTGTGGGGGTTTTTGCAGATTTAAGAATCATCACCAACACCAAAAAACTTGCCAAGCTGATACATACAAACCAATAAACCAAGAAGTTGGTATCAAATGAATTTTAAAACAGAAAAATATATTTACCTTAAAGAAGAATTGTGCAACTTAGATTAGTTAACTTTCAATGTTTTGTGAAACTTGAAACTCCCACAAGCACCGTTTTATGAGTGCCCAAGAGCCTACACCTGAAAGCCATCACCATTACCTCCATGAAAACAAGGTGGGACTCCACTAGGGGCCAGTGGTCTTGTGGAACTTTAGACAAGAGGCAATTAATATGACCTCACAGAATGTTCAGGCAATCGTATACACTAAGTCTGGTAGTATACCGAAGGGAGGGAACCTCTAAAAGACTCATCTCAGGCTTGCCAATTTAAACTCTGCTGACTCTACCCCCAGGACTGAAAGGCCCCTTGTTTCCTTGAAGGCCGGCTGCCAAGCCCACACTGAGATGGGCGGACAAAAAAGAATTCAAGGAGATGGAAATACTCTCTCCCTCTAGTTTTCTGCTAGAGTCACTCTTGATAAACACATTGACTGTTCTTACTACAAAAGAAAAGCACAGTTTGACACAAACACCTTACAATTCAGTGGAACACCCTAAGACTGACTCGCAAACGGTAACATTGCAACACTCCTGAGTGTCGCAATGAGACAGAAATTCAACTATCGCTACAGTCAACTGTACTTAATTTAATCAGGAAGTCAGTAAAGCTACACAAATCTTTTTCTAAATCTGTCTCATTTCTAGTGAATTTTTAACTAGGTTAATAGAAGGCTATAATTTAAAATTTTTAAATATAAACCCAAATAGAAAAAAAAAATCAGGTCATCTTTTTGGTTATAATAATGGACCTATACTGCAAGCACCACATTATTACTATCCTATCTAGTGTACCGTTAATTTTTTAAAAGCCTATGCCACAAAAAGTTATTCCTATGAACAAAAAGTTATAGCACCCAAAATCAGCACTTGGATGGTTATGCAAAGCATATGCCACATGAACAAAAAGTTATAGCACCCAATGGTTATGCTTATTTCCATGAAAGTGTTCTGTGGGTCCTAACCCCCAGATCCAAAGTTACACCTTACTTTTTAGTATACCCATCACACCTATCTCCTAACCCTAGTAAAACCCTGTAATTGTTTTGCATACTCGTACTTTCTACTACTTCCCCTGCAGTAAGTATGAAGGTATCCTAATCATCTTTAGATCCAAAGGAGTATCACAGTGACTGACATAGAAGGAATAATGTACTTATTTTATTCTCTTTGGACACAAATGGAAAAGAACTCAATTCCAGCGAAGAGTCAGCTATGCAAACAAATAATTATGGTACAGAATGTAGGCTTTAGTGTTATGTGTAGTATTGTAATACATAAAACATAAAAGGGAATTATAGGTAAAGGACCGGCCAAGCTTCTTCAGATAAATGAGAAAAGGCTTTACAGAAGTGACTACTCAAATAAATGTCTGAGAAATAAATAAATCTTGAAGAAGAGCACAGTTAATATATTGATGATAGCCTTTATCAAAAGACTCTAAAATTATAGCACAAATGGGTACATAGGCATTGCAGTAAATAGTACATCTGAACATACCAACCACACCTTCAAAAGCCTTCAGATCCCCTTTTTTAAACAATTTTAAGCAATAGCAAGGTGTGGTGCCTGTAATCACAGTGACTTGGGAGGCTGAGACAGGAGGATCATAAGACTAAGGCCAGCCTCAGCAACTTAGCAAGATCCTGTCTCAAAGTGAAAGATAAAGAGGACTGGGGGTGTAGTTCAGTGGTAAAATATCCTGGGTTCAGTCCCCAGTACACCCCCCCCCACACACACACACACAGAGAATATTACACTAGGCACAGGGATAAATACATTAGCTCATTTAATCCTTGAATAGCCCAGTAGCCATTTTACAGATCAGGAAACTAAGTCTCAGAGAAGACAATTTGCCCAAGCCACTTACACTTACTATAAATAATGAGAAGTAAATTGAAGCTTCAAACCCAGCATCCCTACCTCCAAAGCATATATTCTTAACTACTTTGCTTAGAACTGAAGTAGAATTATTAGTATTATCATTATTTTCTTTTCTAACAAAATAGAACTGTATTTCACAAAGTGCTTTCAAATGACAGGAGGGAAAAAAAAAACCTCTAAGTTTCCTTAACACTCTCCTATACATAAGCCATCACAGTTCCTCTGCCCTTCTGTCGGGAGTCGCCATGAACAGGAGCTGAGCATGGTACCCTTAGCCTTGGGTCATGGAGGTGTGGAACTGGCTTCCGCTTGCAGCCTGAAAGCAGGTGGACCTCACCTTCACTAGGCAAGGAATTAAGCTCTGGGAGTGGGTGTCCCCCAATGGGACTGGGCTACACTGCCCTGAAGCCCAATCCCTTGCTTCATTTGGGTGGAACTTTCTCGAGTGTCTTCCCCCTCAATGAATAGGGTTTCAGGTGTGCTCTTTCTTTTGCCAGCCTTTCTTGCCTCCCTCATGGGAGCTGGGGCAGAGGAGCTGTCACTGAACCCCAAGAAAAAGGTACTTTCTATGCCTACAGGATTTGTTCATGCCAGCCCAATTCACCTGGAGTGACCCTGACTCCCGTCAATGGCTAAGGGCTCATTCTTCCAAAGGCTGGAGGGTGTGCTCCTCTCAGAACCCCATCCTTGACCTCCCTACAGCACTCTACGGCTGCCTCCCAGGTGCCTCCTCCCTGCCTCCATACCCAACTGTGTCCCTCTCTCCCCTGTGGTCTCAGAAACAGGTGGGAATCTCTTGGGTCTTAAAGGATTGTGTCTTATTCTCTCAAACCTTTGCCAAGAACCCGCTGAATGTGCAGCAGAGTGGGAAGACAGCACAGAGGCCCCTGGGGTACCCAAATATACCTCCTTATGGTAACAGTAACAATAAAAAGCAGTACATATGCTTATAGGTTTCAATACATAAATAAGCAAAAAGGGAAAATCATTTTTAAAATTCACAGTTCTATCAGAGATTACTGTTTTGGTAGTATTTTGGTTAAATTTGGGTTTGGGGTTTTTTTTTAATCAATGCTAGAGATTCAACCCAGGGCCTGGGGAGCCAAGGTCTACCACTGAGCTATACCCACAGTCCCCTTCTACTTTTTAAGCAAGTTCAAGTTTACCCTAAATTTTTTTTTAATTTTCTTCAGGTGATACTTACATAACTTTCTTTTTCAACACTGTAACAAGAGACACACTTCCTGAGGATGCAAACTCCATGTGTGTACTAAACAGGGCATCTAGGGTCCCCACTAAACCTGTGCTCCTGGAAGGTCCTTGTTCCATATCCTCAGGACCTGACATGAGTCACAGCTCAATCGATGCTCATGGAATTAAAGAATGGAGGAATCAATAATGTAGATTATTAAAAGCAAACAAAGCTCGACAAGGTTATTAGTTCCTAAATTAGGCCCTCTTTGTGCTTCAAGAAAACTGTCAGAATATAGAGAGTGTTCTAGGAAAAAAAATAAAAATAAAAGATAAACTCCTAAAAGGAACAAGCCATTTTATTCTTACTAGCTACAGGGGAGTGGGAATTATGCAAAAAGAAATAATAAAAATACCATCTGACCTCAGAGAGGAGGGGTAAAAAAAAAAAAAACCATCAACCTCATTTCCTTCCATATAGCATCCTGGTCAGTCTTAGACAATTTAAAAGCACCACAACCCAACTGTAAAGCAGCTGGCTCTCTAGTCAGGTCTAGCCAAGTCTTGTGAGTGGTCATACCTGAATGGAAGATAGGGGGGATTTGAGCCAGACAGCAGTGCTCTGTAGGCTTCTTCAGGTGTCTTCTTTAAATAGATCACCTAAGACAGAGAAATAGTAACATTTAGAATACCACACCAAAGAATGACACAAAACTAGTTACTCACCAAATTTGCATTTCACTTCTTCCACTTAAAGTGAAAAACCTCATGATATGTTGATCTTTAGACAGCAACCAAAGTGCCAAAGTTTCCTTTTCAGCTTGAAGCTGAGGCTTAAAGATGGGTAAAAGGTTAGAGACAGAGGGCAGATTGTTTTTTTTGTTTGTTTGTTTGTTTTGGTACTGAGGATTGAACTCAGGGGCTCTTAACCACTGAGCCACATCCTCAGCCCTTTATTTTTTTTTTAATGCAAAGTCTCACTAAGTTGCTTACAGCCTCACTAAATTTCTGAGGCTAGCTTTGAACTGGTGATCCTCCTGCCTCAGCCTCCCAAGCCTGCGGGATTACAGACATGTGCCACTGCTCCCGGCTTTTTTTTTTTTTTTTTAATGATTCAGAAAATTAATTATTTTGAGATGTGGTATGGACCACCCAGGAATTAGTATTTCATACATCTTTATCATATTAAATGGATAGGAGAAAACACAAAGTATTAATCTGAATAGAGTACAAATCTGAAAAGGGTATCTAATATGTCCTCTTGGGAGATGCATTTAAAATTCCTACTTCTTAGTATTAATGACCTTTTTGCAGAGAGCAGATTCTGGAAGAGGTAGTTCACCTCTGCACACCCAGAAGACACAATAGCAGGGGACACCCACACCTCCATTGTTACACCGTGCACTCAACAACGACAAAAGCAGGCCTCTAGTCTCCCATAGAAGATCTCTCATGAGTTAGCTCAGTGATTGACAAATTTTGAAATACATCTCACAGTGAGCACTATACCCATAAGATGTCTACTGAGTTCTCTTATCTGCTCTGAGGAAAGCCAGTGTTGCTCTCTAAATGTTCAATAACATCACAATAAAATGGGGGTTGGTATTTGTTAAGCGTGTTAGAAAACTTAATGGCTTGGCCCTTTATTCCAGGGATGCTTAATCCCTCTGTACAGCATGAAAATTAATCTTAAACAACGATAGGAACAAAAAGGAGCTCTTTCAACTAGTAAACAACCTCCACCCAGTTGACGTACGCCTACATAGCATATGCAGGCACTGTGTCGGCCGCTGGTTCTTCCATTAGCAGAATTTACATTATTGTGGAGCAAAGACAATAATTAACAAAAATAAAAACAATCTAAGTGCTGAAAAAGAAGCAAGCAGGTTTCTGGAGAGAGAACAGAAAAGAGGTGGTTGATGGATGGCAGTCAGGGAGAGGTCTCTGAGTGGCGCTCAGGTGGAGCTCTAGAGGGTTTGGGAAGAGCTAAGGGATAGGAGGAAGGATCTCCCAGGCAGTGGGAAGGACAAGGACAAGGCTGGTGGAGGTGGGAAAGAGCTTGTGAGCTTGGGAGGGCTGGGGTGGCCTGTAGGACAAGCCAAGCAATGACCAGAATGTGAAAAACACATGGAGGGATTTGATTTTATTCCAAGTGTAATTTAATGTCTTAATTTTGGTCCAAGGGCATAGGTCCTTCTCATTTATAGTTTGAATTTAATTCCCCAAATCCTCTCTACCAAAAATTAATGGCATTATTTCCTTAATGTGTCTCAACATCAAAACAGTATGCATTTCTATTACAAGAATGGCAGAGTCCCAGTTACTTAAAAAGTAGGGTTTTTTTCTCTGTACTTATAAGCTTCTTTGAGCTTTAAGCTATTCTACTAACAATATATCACATGTATTTACTTATTAACAATTTCAGGAATAGGAAGCACTCTAATTCTGAATTCTCTAAAGAAAATTAAAATAAATGATAAAAAGAAGTACATCTAACTTTAATAACAAGGATCCATATTCATTTGGCAAATAAAGAGAAGGTCTAATAAGGCATACACCAACCTAAGTGAATTGAGAATGAAACAAAAACAGCACTGAAAATGAGTTAACCTTAAAAGTACTGATCTAGACAAGTGGCATAGATTCCACAAATAGAGAATCACGACTCTAGTTCCAGCTCAAATAATTATAAATCCATTTCAGTCAACCCTAGCTTCCACGACCATTTGCAGGAACCAATATTACAACATAATTTCACTGCACCCTAATGGGTAGGTTATATAACAGTGTTGGTCGTAAGGCAGTGCTACAGCAATTGAAAGTTGACTAGGCTGCTAGAAGGGAAAGCTGCTTGTAGAAAGCCTTCTGTGTTTGGATTAGATAATTAAAGCTTATACATCAACCTTTGAAAAGCAAAAATACATTTCCCTCCTTGGGAGCAATTACATTAATTCCCTTTAATTTTGCGACAGTGGTTCCACAGGTTCTACAGTCACCGGCCCACGTGAAATGCTTCCCTACATTGATGACCCCACAGGGTTTCACTCCTCATCTTACCTGCATGACTTAGCACACATGACCCATGTTCTCACACTGTAAGATGAGAGCCTTTGTTTTTATTTTTATCCCGGTGCTAAATTATTAATAAGTGCAAAATGAAACCCAAAGGAGGCCATTTAAATTCCAGGAAGAATCCCGGGGCATCTGTTACAGGTTGACCTTTTACAGCCTGAATGTAGGTACTTAGGGAGAGTGGGAAAATGTTTTCCTGATACACAAGGGCATTACCGAATGAATGCATGCTAAGTCATTAAAATACAGACTCCCATTTTTCCAGGAGAAAATATGGCATGTATTCCTATGCCAGCTCTTCTTAGACATGTCTTCTAGGAGAAAGAGAAAGAGAGGGAGAGAGAGAGGGAGGAAAGGAGGGAGAGAAAGAGAACAAACACAGGCCTGATTAAAGCTCAAAAGGAAAGTAACATTTACCAGATTCCAAACTTGCACTGCTGCTCTATGGTGGAGTTAGAATTTTTGAACATGTATCTGACTCAAAAGAAAGAAAAATGAATGCTTCCAAGTTCCTAAATGCCATTACACTTGATTTGTAAAATTAGGTGACTTCAAACTATTAACTGTTGTCTCTGAGGAATAGGACTAGGGAAGCATTTGAGGTAGAAAGGGAAACTTTCTATTTTGTATTCTCTATCACTGTATTTTGGACAGATATGTTCAAATTTGTTTTTTAATGCAAAGCAACTCAATCCGTTATGAACTGCTAAGTATACCCTTTTTCTAAAAATAAGATCTATATTTAATATTTAAAAAGTTGTCACTAGATATTCTAATATTTCTAAAAATATTTTCTGAATAATACTATTTTCAAAGTATCTTCTAAATATTCTGATTTTTCTTTTTCTCCTTCTAAGGGGGAAATTATGTAAGACTGTCTACTCCTCTCACTTGCTCTTAGTATATATAAACCCAGTGGGAGAGCCAGGCGTGGTGGCACACACCTATCATTCAAGATGCTTGGAAGGCTGATGCAGGAGAATCACAAATTCAAGTCTAGCCTGTGCAACTTGGCAAGACTGTCTCAAAATAAAAATTAAAAAGGGTTGAGGATGTAACTCAGTGGTAGAGCATGCTTAGATTCAATCTCCAGTACCACAAAATAAAAATAAATCCAATGAGAAGAATTTTTCCAAACTTTTGATCAATATAACTTGACAAAAGCCACCTGCACAGCTAACTAGTGCTTGATTTGCCACACCAAGTTAGTAAGCAGTATATGCATCACTTCTATAAAATCTACCTACCTGGTTAGGAAAGCCTAGAAACCTCCTCCATAAAATAACATTTAACATAGACATTTTTTTTTATCTTTAACTAAACATGAGTCAGCCAATTAAAGTGAATGTTTTTTTTTTTTCTTTTTAATAGACTTTACTGCCAGGTACCAAGGATGCAAATAACTCCATTTCTTAAATACAAGATTCCTAAGAGACAGGATCATCAACAATATGAAGTTTTTATTTAACAACATAAGAAAAATTACAGTACTTCAAGCCAGAATAATTTAGATTGTTTACCAATAAGTTAATGTTGCCCAAACTTCAATTAATCATGTATTAACTTTCCCAGCTTCTATCACCTATACCACCGTGTACTACCATTTCTCTCTGAACAGACATGCTCTTTTAACTTAATCAATTTAATGAAGTGTTTTATATCATTGCAATAAGTGAAAACCTGCCACTGAATCTACACATAAATGAATACTCAAATACATAACACTTAAAATTTTAAATGTTTGTATATATAGCACACACTGACAAACAATATATCAAATATCAAGCTTGTACTAATTTTATAAAGGAATATCAGACCAACATGGCAAATTAAATAAAATCTTCAAATAATTTATTTGCAAATACTTCTAAATCATTTTTTCTCACTTAAAAAAAATAAAGTTTATTCATTTGGTAGCGGGGATCAAACTCAGGGGGACTTAGCAATGAGCCACATCCCCAGCCACTCCTTTATTTTTGTATTTTATTTAGAAACAGGGTCTCACTAAGTTGCTTAGGGTCTCATTAAGTTGCTGAGGCTGGCTTTGAACTAGCAATCCTTCTTTCTCAGCCTCCCAAGCCCCTGGGATTACAGGTGTAGGCCACTGCGCCTGGCAACTCTAAATCATTTTGAAAACTAAATCCTATGGTCACTAAATCCTTAAAGCCTTTAATAAATAATATATGAGATTTTCAGAGACATCTTAGAATTGACAACTATACTTCTTTATTCAGCTAATTTAATCTCACTGATCTGCCAGCAGTGATTCTTACAACAACAATTTATATAAATGGCTTAATATAGAAGTTGAAATCAGACTCTAATCATAAATTCACTAGTGGTCTTTCCCTAGGGACATGTGCCTTAAACTTTACCATGCTTTTAACTTTGTTTTTAGTTGCTATTATTCCCCCCCCCACCACAAAAAAAAAGCTTTACAGCAAAAGTGTACCCCCCAACACACACACATACACTGATACCTTAAATATATTTTAAAAAGAAATTTACTCCCCCACTCTGTGTTAATTATGTTTATATTTTGTGAAAATAAAAATACTCTTAAAGATCCAACTTGGCCTTCTGAGTAT